ATAGAGAAGGTCCACAAAATCCACAGAAAATCCAATGAAATTTTTAATTCATATCAGATAAACATTCTACTAGCTCCCAAAAGCAGGGTTGGGATTGGGATAACAACTTTATACAGAAGAGAAAAATATTTCAAACAATTCATACTACAGTGATAGTTATAGGATTTGATAAAGAATAAAGTCCGAAACTTGATTAGAGCATGAAGGGCATACTCAACTATTTTGCCCTTTTCTTAATTTAAAATTACTGTGTTACACTTTCATAAAGGTTTTGATGAACAGCAGGATTATATCTAACTCATTATGAAAATACTCTCTAAATTATACTTAAAGGATTTTGTGAATTGCAGGATTATATCTATAACTCATTATGAAAATGCTCTCCAACAATTACTGAAAAAATAATAGACATCACTAGGAAAGTACCGTTAAGACCCTAAAACAGTGGTGCTATTGCATTAATCTTGCACAGAAACAAAATCTAAATTCACCTGAGCAACTTGGAGCACAGAAATTATGCAAATGTGCAAAGGCATTAAGAGAGAGCAATGTGAATACCTCTGCTCAGATGACTCATACCCAGATGAGTCCGTGAAATCCACAGGAACCACCGTGTGGTCCGAACTATACAAATCCTTGCTTGTAACATCAAGTGTCTGATCGGTCATGCACTTGGCCCGCAGATGGAACTCAACAGAGCAGGACTCGCACTGGCCGTCACCAGCGCATGCATCGCAATCAAGCCAGGACCGCATGGACATGGCGCGTTCACTTCTGAGCGGGATAAGGCCGAGGCGGTGAGCAATGAAATCGTCGTTGAGAACGGAGGAGTTGACCTCGATTTCCACCAAATGGATGGCGATAGTCGGGACCTCTGCCATCATGACGCGGCGCAAGGCATTGGCCATAGAGGCGTCGGTGTCCCGCAGCTCGAACTTGAGGTAGTCATCTTTCATCTCCCGGATTTTGATCTTCGGGAATCGCTGGTACGATGCTCCCTCCATTTTCAAGGGTTTTTCCTTGGGGGGAAACTGAGGAAGAGGACTGGGACGAGCGCGGTTTATAGAACCCAACCGTTGGGTTTTAGTTCACTGTGTCTTCAAGCGTGAAACGGTGCCGTGTAAATTTCCTTTTTCCATTTTATGGGTTAGCCCCTACCATATTCCAAAGTTCCAAGGAGGAAAGGACTAATTCTTCTTTATCAATTCAGACTCCAAACTTATTCACTACATTAGACTGGTGATCTTGCTACTTTTT